GTGTACAGTCTGTCCGCAGCGGTGAAAGAAGGTGAAAATCTTCAGGGTCTACATCGGAGCTGATAGTCGACACATTTGGAACCAATCCTATCCTGCAGACTAATGGTGGGCGCACGAGCACTTCTTCCGTAGGCAGCGGCACGCGGTTGGATCCTCCGGCGAACTGCGTTGGCTGCTGTTCTTGGCTCATAGCTTCTGTAGAGGGTAGGGGAGTTTGAGACCACGTATGCCGGGTGCAGGGCTCGGTTGCTCTGTGTCTAGGAAAGCTGAAATACCTTCGGCGTAGGCCGTGCAAGGTTTAGAGTTAGGGCCCGAAGCTGCGACGCTCTAGCCGAGCTTAAGCGCGCAGACTCCCCAAAAGTCGTGCTGGGTACCTCATTCCCTCATTCCCTACTAAGAACCAGCCAGAGAAACTGTCGTCTTGGCCCATGTCTTAAAGTTTTGTGACGCCCTCATACGAAGTGGTATTCTTGTTCCGCCCCGCCCTCAGAAGTAGTGCATGGGGGCCGAACAAGGTTGTAGGAAGGTCTCTATGCCCCCTAGAGCTTACAATCCCCCGATTTGTTACACCTCGAAGAAACAAATATCAACTTGGGAAACACAACTCCGTTGCCAAATCATAAGTCAGAAAGCTTACCCTAAACCCTAAACTCAGCCTGAAACCCAAACCCTAAACCGGACAACCCTCAAAACGCCCAGAATCTCGAGCCGCAAGCGCAAAACACATTGACCCCCCGAGCACCAACTGCGACTGAAAGACCTGCCCACGCCGTATCCCCTTCAACCACTCTTATACGACACCCCTGTTGTGTTCAAGAGGCTCTCTTATTTTCCCCCCAAAACCTAAACCCCTACACCCACAACCCTAAACCGTAAACCCCTAAATTAGGGGGTTTAGGGTTGGGGTACTGTAGCCCTTGTATTTCAAATTGCTCATGGGGTCGTAAATTTAGCAGGTGGAATTGTCACAAGTAGCCCCTACAAGGGAGCACTTAGACAACCGCAGGGTGTAGGCCAGGAAGAGGACTTGCTTGGCAAAGCATGCGAAGCCTTTGGAAAAGATGTTAGGGAGCTAAACGAAGAACAAAAACATGGCAAGCAAAACCTTAACAGAAACCTATCCCCTGCTCCAGTTGTTTGCTACAGGCCTGTAACCCAAAACCATAAACCCTACACCGCCGAAGACCAAATCAAAAAGAACACACACACACAACACACAACACAACACACAGCACACAACACGCAGCACACAACACACAGCACAACACACAACACACGACACAACACGCAACACGCAACACGCAACACGCAACACGCAACACACAACACGCAACACGCAACACGCACCACGCACCACGCAACACGCAACACGCAACACGCAACACGCAGCACGCAGCACGCAGCACGCAGCTCGCAGCTCGCAGCACGCAGCACGCAGCACGCAAGACGCAGCACGCAGCACGCAGCACGCAACACGCAACACGCAACAAACAACAAACAACACGCAACACGCAACACGCAACAAACAACAACCAACACACAACACACAACACGCAACACGCAACACGCAACACGCAACACACAACACGCAACACGCAACTCGCAACTCGCAACACGCAACACGCAACACGCAACACGCAACGCGCAACACGCAACACGCAACGCGCAACACGCAACACGCAACACGCAACACGCAACACGCAACAGGAAACATGCAGCTCGCAACACGCAACACGCAACACGCAACACGCAACATGCAACACGCAACACGCAACGCACATCACGCAACGTACAGCACGCAACACACAGCACGCAACGCACAATGCACAACGCACGACACAGAACACAGAACACAGAACACAGAACACAGAACACAGAACACAGAACACAGAACACAGAACACAGAACACAGAACACAGAACACAGAACACAGAACACAGAACACAGAACACAGAACACAGATTGGGTCATACTCATCAGTAACACAGACACAGAACCCAAACACACAACACACACACAGAACACAGACACGGAACACGGAACCCGTAAACACCGAACAC